GGGGGGGGGGGGCGGTTGGTCTCCTCACTTTTCTTCTACAATGTAATAATATGGAAGTCAAGAAGATGCCTGAAAATTGTTGAAACACTGCATAAAGATCTGGGGCATGAAAAATAAAGTATAGAAACGAAAAAATAAAAGCTATCCTTCCTTTTATTCAAACGTGCTGAAAAGATTGATTTAACATAGATATCAAAGTTTACAGTGGTATATCCAGGAATTTGAAATAGAGGAGGACCGAGAGGAAAGACAATTTCACAGATAGACGTTTATCTTCCTAATCCCCACCATGGTTGAGGCTGACGTAAGAACAATTGATTACGGCACCTCTGAACGGCCAGAAATGGCCGCTCTTAGACTTCAAGTGAATACAATTTTCTCTTTTTTTTTTCAATTTTTTATAATTTTGAAAAATTTAGGGGGTGGGGTGGGGGAACGGGCCTCCCCTTAAATTGGTTTAATATAGGCCTATCAATTCAGTAATTATTAGACAATCGAATTTCTTATCAGGTGTATTCGTATTTTCTAACTTGATGTATATTGACGATGTATAGGGTCCAAGCCTTTTATAATTATTAATTAATAACGTAAAGAAATTACTATTTTGATACATTGTAGGCCTAAGCTTAAAGTCTACAGTTGGAAGTCATGAAAATCATGAAAAAGAATTAAAAGTGCTTAACAGGGGCGGATCCAGAGATGTCCAAAAAAAAGGGGGGGGGGCGAAATTTGGGCCGATCGAGACAACAATGTTCTAGGGGGTCCGGGGGCATGCCCCCACGAAATTTGTGTTTTCTAGACGCCCTAAAATAACTTCCCCCACTTCCAACCCATTAGCTCGATCATTCTTTCATTCACTCGGGCATAGTTCGTACATTAATGATTCATTCATTCATTCGCTCTTTCATTCATTCATCCATCCATTCATTAGCCGGATAATTTTTTCATTCATTCGGGCCTGTTCGTACATTCAATATTCATTCATTAGTTTTTAAAATCGTTCAGAACATTAGTACAGTAATAATTTATTTTGTTTGGCCTATTCATTTTTCATTCATTCACATTCATTCATAGAGGTTTTGGGCTTCATGTTGATAAAATGAACGGAGGCGGTGGATGGCGGCTGTGAGTTTTGGTGTTGATATTTTGAGTTTGCATTTGACGTCTCCCTTTGATGTCGATAATCAAGTCATCAATTTCATATAAATATTTCTATGTACAATTAAATACTGTACTTAAGAAAAAAATTATTACGATCCGTATACCATGAATTGTTTTTGTTATAAAAACAAATCAATATTTAAAGTTTAAATTTAAGTAGGCTTAACTAGCATTTAATTGGAAACTGTATAAAATAATCCCCGTGTTAAATAATTTACTTTATGGAGAGTATTCCATTTCAATAGGCCTATAATAACTTCATGCTTCATTTTGACCAGTCAGTTAAGTACGTATACTCAGATGTTTTAACATGAGGTTATTATTTCTTTGCTTCCTTTCCCAGTGGCGGCGCATAGGATTTCCCGACAAGGGGAAAAGGTCCCCGACTGGGGGAAGATTACCCTGACGAGAGAAAAGTGGGCGTGGCCGGACCCGCTCCAAATCTTTCGAAAGTGGTCCACGGGGCGAATCCTCCCTAAAGTATGACAATTTAGGAGTTTCAAAGGCTTATTTAATCGATTTTAGAGTTTACTATTATGTAAAAAATACATATAATCTTTTTATACATACAATTTCCCCCCCCCCCTCCGACGAATTGTTTTTTCTCCCCGACTGGGGTGTTCCCCCTATCCCCCCACCTTCGTAGCGCCGCCAATGCTTCCTCTACTTCCTCTATAAAGGCGTGGATACATCTTTACAGAAGCAATTACTTGGATCTGTTTACCCTTTCACAAAAGGAAAGGGTTGTTGACGCGTTAATGAATTGGTTTACACGTCGCCAAGCAACCATTTTTCCAAATGGAATGACCCATACGAACGAGCTACCATTTAGTCCGCGAAAGAGTAGCAAAATGTTACTTCGATTCACGTTGATAAATTGATTGAAAAGACAAACTATTGACATGATACATGTGTGTTCAGATCTTCAAGCAATGTATTCGTAATAGTTTGGCAATTTGTAGATTATTTTGGAACTATTTTTTAAGAAACAATGAAAATGAACTAAGTAGAGTTAGGATTGGTGGCGCACTGTCAAGAACGACAGACAGATTTAGAGAAGAACATCTTTTTGGTGGTGGTGTGGGTAGCTGCAAAGATAATAAGTGACAGTGTGTTGATAAGGAGTGCTTCTGAACATGCTTATTTTGGAAGTTTTGATTTTATTCGGTTTTTCCTCATTCTAAGTATTAATAGGTATGTAACTGTGTGACTATGCATATAAAAAGCTGTTATTATTAGACCCAATTCCTTGCTAATTAGCGTTCTTCTGATTAGAGAGGCCTAGGCTTAGTAGAAAGAGGCCCCCTACCGTCTTCTTATTCCCTAGAGTTGGTGAGCAACCGACTGTGCACACGTCAAACAAGTGCCTAGGAATGAGGATTGGACTGTCAATTGATAGAAAGTGTGGTTAAATCTAGACATCTAGGCCAGTATACTACTGCATGATTGAACGTGTGTAGTAGGATTTGCATGGATCACAAAATGCGTTTTGGTAGGCATGGCATCATTGAATATTTTTATGCAATTTAGTTGATTTAAAACAAGGAATCAATACAATCACAAATCTGCATTACTGAAAGCAACATCATGGATTGTTAGTTTAGGCCAACTTATTCAGTTGAACTGCTTTACTTTATGACGTAAATGCACTAAGACAGTTCGAGTCTGGTAATTCGTAGGTTATTTTGGGACTATTTTTAAGAAACTTGGTAGCACAAGTGTGGGAATTTATGGAAGAGTTTCATTATGTATAGGGTATATTTGCAAGGACTTGGTAGCACAAGTGTGGGAAATACCTACGTAAAATTGGTAGTTAAAGCTCCTGCTCTGTCCCGTATCAAAGTAGCATACTGTAATTTTTCACACGATTTTAGCGAAGATTTTTTGCCAACCTCCGTGCTAAACCTCTAAACCTACCGTTGATACATAGCCACGAACAGTAGGGATCGCAAACATACAGAACTGTGGTCTTATTCGCCATCGGGAACCAGTGAAAGTTTAATTTGGTAGGTTACATGCCATAATAGTAGTTCAAGCGACACCGGATTTTGATAAAAGTTCCTAATAATTTTCAGTAAAATAGGTAGCGCAAGTGTCTCATGTCTTAGAGTGGCTGCTGCCCCCCCCCCAACGTAAGGTTGGTATACAAGTGAGCTCCCCGGGGGTTGAAGTGATATACTGTATGTGGCAAGACAAGCCAAACCACAGTCCCTTGTCGCAAATCGTTTCAGAGAAAATGGCCAAAACATTTTTACTCTTTAACCCTGTATTAATTAATAACTCAAAATCAAATTTTTTTACGACAAGTGACTGGTTTGGCTTGTCTTTGCTGCATAGATTTTTAATTTTTTTCTTTATATTTGAGGTATTATGATGTACGCTGTAAAGTTGTTTGTTGTGAAATTATAAATAAAATAAAAATTACCTTAAATAGGATTACCAAAAAATTAAACAAATCATTTTCAAGTGATTCTCTGAGTTATACGAATTATAATTGAAATTCAGCATATTTTACAAGATATAACAGCTTTAGTAATTGGTGGGGAGGGGGACAGGGAGGGGTTTAAATTAGAAAACTAAATGATGCTAGGTATAATAAGATAAATAGGAGTGTGGTGTCGATGCATATTTGCATCCGATAACCATCAGCTGAGTTGAAACCCTGAAGGCATATTTTGGGAATTTTTATAACTTTGGACCAAGATAGAAGTCATGTTCAGATTCATCAATCCAGGTAACAGGGAGTTTAGTAATATAAATTCCAGACATATTTCGGTACCATGAACTTTATCCACACAGCAGGTCAAAAACATACATGTTCTGTAATTGGCATGGCATAGTGTGTTGTTGCATTATGCTATAAATACGGTAATTATTAATTTAGATTTTTTTTCTTATATTGTTGATGCTGCCATTCTTCATAGCCTTGTCTGCAAATGAACCAATGAATGATTTGATTTACAGTAATTGCATAATGCTAGTCTACTGTAATAGCCACTGGTACATCTTTCTTTCAGAACATGTAGCATTGCTGTCAAATCATATTTCAGAACATTGCCACCTTATCAGATAATTGGATTATTAACCAAAAGGCCGATGCCAACGTTGTAGTGATGGCTTAGCCAGCAGAAAGTGGGGTTGGTGAACATCACCATGGCAATAAAGAACTCGGAATGGAAGGACATGCAATTTACGGTATGAACAGATTTTGCTGTATTTTCCTCGTGAAAACGCTTGTTTTGCATTTTATCATGAAATATGAGGATTGATCATTCATGGTTTTAATAGTGTAAATCACATACATCACAATAATTATAAACAAAACATCACATTGGAATTAGTTAATGTAAGAAGTTCACAATTAAAATAATCACAAGCCAATTGCAATTAAGATTATGCAATTACTAATACAGTTCATAGAAATGGTATTTTTTTAATACATCTTCAAATTTGTGAGAAAAATATTTTCTCATAATTTTTAATTGGAAGTTAATGACTTAAATAATCTTAAAAATTTAAAATTTTTCGTGAGTTTTAATTCAGCATCCAGGGAATAGATAAATAACAAGAGATTGATAATTTGTTCCAACACCACAGATTTACCAATGAAACCAATCTGGCAGTGCAAATATTATACTGTGTGAATGATGATATTCTCCCATACTCTGTTTGCTTAGATATGTACCACATGGTTTTATCATTTACACTATCTTTTATTAACTAATGTTGCTTGCTTTTCTTAATATTTGTATATCTAATGTGCTTTATCATTTACAGTACCATAACTTGTATCAATGATTTGTGATTTTAATATTGAAAAAAAATCTTGAATTTTGGACATACAGATAGTTCGATCTTGCATAGTATCTCTTTTATTTGCACAAGTTACGATAATTTTTTTGTTTACTTCTCTTTAATGGTTCTATATCTAGTGGTCTAGTATGCTTTATCAGTATAGTACCATCATTTTCATTGGCTTGTGATTATAAAATGTAAAGAATCTTCAATTTTGAACCTACGTTTCACAGCTTTACAATATATGATTTTTTTTATTTAACCTTTTTGAATGTTTGATATGCTTTGGTGTGTGCTTTATCAATACTGTATTGGTTTGTGATTCTAATATTTATTTTAAAGAATCTTGAATTTTGAACTCTCAGTAACAGGAGGCATAGGTTAATTTTAGTCATGACTAAAGTTAAATGCTTTGCATTCATTTTTGTACCTTTATTAAAGTGCATAATGTATCCACTACTACTGTAGACAATATATGTATAATAATTCAATAAAGTTTAATTGAAGTTAAATTGCTGACCACTGTTTTTAACAGTGGTCTTAAATTGCAGAAAACGATGCAATGGTCTTGTTTCCCTGCCCTAGTCTGTTTTTGTGGGTTTGTTTTTTTTTTTGTTTTTTTTTTGTTTTTTGGCTAATTTTAGGATTCTCTCTTCTTGTTTTTTCTCTGTTCTTTAAATATTCTGCATCATTTTGTCTGCTATTTCTTTATACATTCATCTTACCTTTTCTTTACTTGGACATGGCGCTTATAAATCGACCTATTTTTATTAGTATTATTATTATAATTATTATTGTTATTATTATTATTATTAATAGCTATTATTATTATTATTATTGTTATTATTATTATTATTATTATTATTGTTATTAATATTATTATTTTAAAAAATAATGTATTCATAAAATATATTTTTTTTAAATTTTCCAAATAGGTTGTTGTCCGCATCCGTCCGTTGATGCCATCAGAAATAGAGGGTGGTGCATCCATAATTGCGCATACCATTGAATCAAATGTAAGTAATTTTAAGCACCTTTCTTAGTTGTTTTGAAGTATGCATTTCCCAGTTACCTTATAAAATTGTCTCCATCTTTCCAATATCTTATCAATATAGAACTGTAAATAATCAATAATAAATCATAGCACAATTTGACAATAGCTTACTACAAGCTTTCTTCCATGTTATTAACATGACTTTGTCGGGCTATTTGAGCATCGGTTATTTTGTGCATTGCTTGAACAACGCCCTCTGGTGCTAGCTCTCTTCCTGTCAGGATTGGTTCAAGGGGCCCCCGTCTTTCAGGTTGAAGGAGTTGGTCAAAGAATAAAGATATGTGAATGCTTGTATGTTGTTCCATTTTTGTTTCCTTATTGAGATTGTCTCCATGGTTGTTCTTTTTATTCCATTTTGATTATTTTGGTGTTGTCCCAGTTCGGGACGTGGCCAAGATCCACCATATGGTCGGTCAGTGAGGCTGATTAATAACATCGACAAAAGCTCGCAGTAAGTTTACATCAAATTGTGCTTGGTTTATTATCGATTAAAAAGTTCTACAATCATTATAAGCAAACCAGATGAAAATATTCAAGTTCTTATTTTTGTTGTTTTTATCGATACATCATCATCATCATTATCACTATTAATATGCATAAACGTCAAAAGAGAATATGAGCACTGCGTTGGTGGGCAGTCAATTTATTTTTACCAGGTTTAGATATCAAATAAGAGTACCACATACTCAGGCATTAAATTTGTCAAAGATGGGAGCAGGTCAGCTCAATCGGATAAACTAGGGGTAACCAATATGTGTGCGCTGAAACGTGGACATCTCTTGCTCCCTGGTTCTAATCCCATTGCATTATGGCCCATGTGCATATTAAAGAATGCAGTATACACTTCTCAGTAAAGAGGAGGGGATTACCTCCCATTGTACTCCCTAATCAACACCATAAGGACCCCAATCTCTTGGTGTTTAAACTGAATATATACATCCATTCAATGTTGTAATTCGGTGTAAAGTTAGGTATTACACAGACAGATGGTATCTGAGAAGAACGGACACTTTTCATTGTTGTATTAGTTCTTGATGATAAATTGCTTCGTAACATCCTAGTATATTGGATGGAAGGAATGAGTTGACGAAGCTGTTGATACAATTATTTAGTTCTTACAAATCACCTTTGGGAATAGGAATTGCTGTACATGTCTGTGTTTATTAACGAAAATGCAAATACTTCATTTTTTGGCCTCGCCAATTACGGATTTTATCAACGATTCCCTTAGTAATGGAATTGTACCTGATGAAATGAAATGTGCCCTGGTAAAACCTCTACTGAAAAAGGCTTCTGGATCCTAACATGTTGAACAACTATCGTCCTATATGTAATATTTCGTTTATTTCAAAAATTTTGGAACGTGTTGTTGAATCCAGAATGAAAATGCATTTAAATGAATTCTCCTTATATGAACAATTCCAATCGTCATATCGAATGGCACACAGTACGGAAACGGCTCTTTTGCGTGTGACTAATGATATGCTATGTACCATTGATAGCCCTAAAGAATCTGTTGCTCTTTTGTTATTAGATCTTTTGTCTGCTTTTGACACGGTAAACCATAATGTTCTTATCAGTCGCCTGAAAACAAGCTTCGGGCTTAGCAGCACAGTTACGGTATCAATTGGTTTAAATCGTATCTAAGTAATCGTAAGCAGAATGTTATCATTGGTAACTCACTTTCTAAGCAACTGTCAGCAATTTACACTGGTGTCCCGGAAGGTTCCGTCTTAGGATCATCATTATTTTCTATGTACACGCGCCCATTAGGCGAACTGATTAAACAACACGGTGTAAATTATCATTTTTATGCTGACGACACTCAAATTTATATGTCTATCTCTAACAAATATCATTCATAATCTGGCTGAAGGTGTTCTTGAAAATTGTTTATCTGATATTAGGAATTGGATGACTTGTAACTACTTGCACTTAAATTCTTTGAAGACCGAATTTCTAATGTTGTCATCTCAACAATTTCATAACAATTTAAAGTTCAATTAATGAAATTAAGATTGGTAACAATTTAATTGAGATATCGTCTTGTGCTCGAAACCTTGGGGTTGTGATTGATTCAAAGCTTTCTATGACCAATCACATTTCCAATATTTGCAGGTCGTCCTACTCTTGCACTTAAAATCTTTGAAGACTGAGTTTCTAATGTTGTCATCTCAACAATTTAAGTTCAATTAATGAAATTAAGATTGGTGACAATTTAATTGAGATATCGTATTGTGCTCGAAACCTTGGGGTTGTAATTGATTCAAAGCTTTCTATGACCAATCACATTTCCAATATTTGCAGGTCGTCCTACTCTTATCTTAAAAGTATTAGCAGTATACGGAAATCGCTTTCTCAATCTGATACTGAAAAACTAGTTCATGCATTTATTTCGTCTAGATTAGTTGTTGCCTGCTGGACTTCCAGCATATAAACGTAAACCACTTATTCATGTTCAGAATGCAGCTGTTAGGCTTGTAACAAGAACACGTAAATATGATCATATTACTGACATACACATTAGACTTCATTGGTTACCGATGCCACAAAGGATTGAATTTAAATTGCTAATAATTGTTGCTACATGGTGTAGCACCACAATATTTATCTGAACTAATTGAGTGGCACACTCCAAAACGAAACCTTCGTTCGGGATTTTAGTTTTTTGCAAAGGTGAAATCTGTTAACTGCGATCTGATGGTAAAAATTCTAAAGTAGCATTTAAAGACCGTGCTTTTGAGAATATTGGTCCTCAGCTTTTGAACACTTTACCCCTTTATATTAGATCTTGTACTACCATTGATGTTTTCAAGTCTCATTTGAAAACACATTTATTTAAAAAGAGATTTAATGTTAAACTCTTTGTAGGTCAGGTATATTCAACTTGTAGTTCAGCTTCATGAAACTTGATGTACAACTGTATATTCTTGCATTTTAAAAGCTCTTTATTTTAAATTTAAGACACATGATGTACTGCAGGTTTTTTTTCGGCATTTTTAACCTTTTGAATTAAATTTTGATGGTTTGGTAGAGTTGCCTTGTCTTTTTCTTTTACAAAATACAAAAAAATTCAGTGTTTTATCGTTCTATTTCGTGTATTTCAATGTAGATTTTTGACGTGTTAAATGGTATTGTGATTTTTTTTTATGATTATTGGTTTCAAACATTTCTATTAGCTTTTAATGTATATTTCTTTATGTATGTTTAAAGTGTATGTTGGTCTATGAATATTTTAAAATTCTGTACAGCGCCGATGAACATTTTTAATGGATATTGTTTTGCGCTTTATTAAATGAAGTTATTATTATTATTATTTATTGGTAAAACTTGCAATGGAACCTTGAATCAAGCCAAGGTACCGTAATCCAATTTGTTCCTAATTGTTGTTGGTTTGTTGATGCATGATGGATTCACTTACCTGCGGACTTTACTTGACGTTTTTCCTGATTGATTGTTCGCACTAGGTCAGTTGCGGAACAAACGCATCCTGCATACACAATGTCGTGTCTGCTGAAGCATGGATGCTTTGACGTCATATATTTTCATAGAGAGTATGCAATTACAAAAGACTTTGAAACAGATGTTGATCTGTTGAGGAATTTTTTATCTGAATCTTGACTTATTGTAGTTAGCTTGCAGTTGTCCTCAGTGTGTGTACTGAACCGTGAAGATCTTTTGGCCTCTGATTCAAGTCCATCTGCAGAATGCGTGTTCTTTTTTGGAGGACATGTCTGCCTATTTATTCTTCCTGGTTCACCCCACACGATTGTAATGTTTTTTTGTGTCGGTTCTCTTGTGCGCAAATTATTATGAAAATGCAGGAATGATTTTTAAAAAATTATAACCTACAGTGGACTACAATACACGACTAAAGTAAATAGAAATTCTTTTGTTATAATTTTGTCTTTCAGTAAATGAAAATAACGTTTATAGAATATGTATAATAAAGTATTTTATGAAGGCCTTTAAAACATTATGTTGTTTGTGAAAAATGATAATTTTTTTTTAATGTATTCAATGCTATAATAATAATATAATAATTCTGAATTTATATAGAACATAAAAACTTTGAACGTTGCAATGTAGAACAGTTTATGAGATAGATATGGAAAATTCTGTTTCCTCAAGCTGTTGAATTTGACAAACAAACCAAACAGGGATGAAGATTATGGGTCACATTTCTTGGTTTCTCAATAATTTAACCATGGAGGTATTATAGAGAAGGAGATCACTCGGCGACAAACCCATGTGTTCCCCGTTTTTTGAATCGCGCGCGGGCGTATTACCCTATAATTCACATTTTTTCTTTGGAAACAACTTGGCAACGACATGCATTTATACGCTTCCAGCAGAGCAGTTGTGCAATAAAGCGTTTGATTTTAACCCATTAAATATCTTTATAATGAACAGTGTTCCCCTGATTAGATTTTTTCGTATGTAGTGCGCATCGAGAAAAGAAGGTGCTCTCCATTTCGCCATTTTCAATTTTTTGGTAAACTATGCCTGCTGAAAATTTGATGGCGGGGACACTTGGGACTTCAAAGGCATCGCACAAACTTTCTTCACGCGCTGCAGCAGCTTTGATCTTGGTTCATTTGCATAGCACTATGTGCACGTAGCTTTTTCGAGTGATCTCCTTCTCAATAATACCTCCATGATTTAACCAAAGTTCCTGAAAGATAATTTTCCTGGACATTAAACCTATTTACATATGGGTCTAGACCTAATGATAAATTTCTGTAGTATTTTTGTGTATTTTGTCTGTAATTAGGCTGATTTTCTTTTAGTGGTTCTCTTTTATGGAAACAAATTGTAACGTTTAACCTACTAGAAGGTAAGCGAGCGAAGCGAACGCACCCTCTAGTTTAGGATGATTTATTATTCAACAGTAATAATAATAATTTATTTTAAGATATGATTAATTTCAAAGCGAATAATTGTTATTTCATTTTAATTGTT